CACACACACACACACCCCCTCCCCAAACGCTCCAATTACTCATGCTTGAAACTAGACCGTTGACTCAAAGGGCTTACTAACATACCTGCCGGGAGGGAGACACACCTTGCTGAAGTTATACGTTTCCGTAATTATGCAACACTGCCTGCAACTACTACTCACCTGGTTGCACACTGAGGTTAGCAAGAAAAAACGCCACTTGTTTCATCGGCACGACCGATATTAAAGTTAAAACCCACATCAATTTCTTGTTACTTTTTTGCTGACTCATGTCTTGCTAAATCAAATCAATCAAATCATTATGCCCAGGTGTGTGCTAACGCCCGTGTAAGGTAGTTCTTACCTGGACGCGTCTACTAGGTTTACAGTTAACAACAAGCTAGCCAGCGGTTAGCCAATCAGAACACGAGCTTTGATTAAAACTCATCCGTACCAATCTCTGTGCTAAGAAATGACCATTTAATGTTGGCGTTGTTATAGACAGACACACTTACTTCATAGAACATAACTGACGAGTTTGTACGAGCCGTTTGGGCGACGTGGAGCATTCGGCATGAAAACAAATGGACCAAGCAAACTATTAAAGCACAATAAACACTGAAAATATAAATAAGTAGTGTTAGTGACCATCCGCGTAATGTGTTTTAACGGTGGAATATGTATGTGAGATAATTTAAAACAACTGCTGAAAGTTAAACATGTAGGTAAACAACCTCTTCTTGGTTAAGAATATGGTATAGGTTAATTTATGTGCAGAACAACGTTACTTAGTTACTCTACAAAAATTGCAAATTAGCCGGTGTGTATGTAAAAGGCAACAACACTAAGCTGCCCGATTTGAGGGTGGAATATCAGCAGTAAAAATTAGCCAGCTAGCCAGTGAGCAAATAGTAGAATGAGGTCTGGCTAAACAAACAACTTTAGCTAGCTTGAGTTAGAGCCGTTCAGGTGTTAAACAGAAACAGGTGGCTGGGATGAGCAGGGCGGTTCAGTTGTTAGCACGGCTGGCTCACAAGCAAACACCTGTGGGCACCAGCTCTGTGTAAACGTGAAGTGCGGGCCCACCTCCCAACCCACCTGATTCAAAACGGCCGTTGCTCAGCCGATGTCCACCGTTCTCAGACGCTGGGTAAAGATTCCACCTCCGGCCAGTGTCCGGTGTTTTAGTTGGCTAGGAGCTCTTTCCTCATACAAAAGTCAAGAAAAATGTGTCCAGAGCGACAGCGAGTACTCCCAGGATCCAAGCAACAGCGTGTTTGCCGAGGAAAAATCACGTCTGAGCACCGGTTACAAACTAAAAACTGCTCCTTCTTTTTCCACCGCTGCGGCGGTAGCTTCGGTGTTTCCTGCTAGGCTAAACTTCACTGCTAACTCCTCCCTTATGATGCATTCAAGTGCACCTTGTGAACCCCATGCACACATCAAGCCCCGCCTCACTTCCGCGTCAGGCTCTACTCCAAAAGCCTTCTAGGCTCAGTGCAAATTATTCTTATTATGCTACACTACCGCATTACCACTTTATCACTGTAACTTCAATTTAAAGACCCAATAAATCTGCGCTCACAATAGTTATAGTCCAGCTGCAAAAGCAATAGTGAGAGATTTGCTATCACTTTGTTAGGTTGTCCAGCATCTCTGTTTTGGACAGCCTTTTAAAGCAGCAACCGGGCTGTATCGACACTAACGGGCAGTAGTTACATACAAACATTCAGTACAATTTACACACACACAGGAAGTCAGGTTATTGAAAGAAACTAGGTGAATTAACAGAGAAAAGGACCATATATCACCAAAACTCGTGTTTACAGGTAGCTGAGTGACCAATACTCTCTTCTCCAGTGTTGATACCACTTTGGGTACACTGTTACACTGTTACAGTAGGCAATGAGTGGAGATAAACTGTGGACAGGAATGCTATGAGATAAAAAATCCCATTGATAAAGCCAATACTTTTATATTAACTTTCACTTTAGTCTAAAAGAAGGTCTATAACAGCTTCAGCAACAACAACAAGGTTCCTTGCAGCAGAAATATCCACTCCAGACATATATTTAGACATATACAAATAGTATGATTGGAACAATATAGACAGACATAGAATCTCTGAATATTGTTCCTTTCTACAGTTGTCCTGCTGGACACAACATGTCTCCTCCTTCACTGTAAAGTCCATTCTCAGTGGATGTGCACTGGTGGCTTCGAGTTTCA